CAGGTGGCGGGGTGGAGGGGTCTGGGGGCGAAGCACGGAGACGGCCCCAGGGAGGGGGGGAAGGGGCAAAAAGGGATGCCGTCGGGAATCTGAGCCTGTCTGTGTCCGAGGACGGCGGCCATCGAAGCTTTTCTTCTCTTTCGATTGCGCCCTGGCTGGGGAGGGTGAAGGACGGTTTGGGCACGGGAGGGACGTCCGTCGGGCATGTGTGCTGGTCATGCGTAGGCTGGAGTCCCACGGGCGAGAAGGAGAAAGTTCCAGAATGTCTGGAAATCGAATGGCTCCCGGCCTCGAGGGACGCCCGCAGGAGGCGAGTTTGGGAGCAGTCTAGGGCCGTGGTGGGCAGCAGGAGCGAGGAAAGCCCCGGGACAAATGTGCCGCTTGGCGGGCCCGTCATCTGCTGGCTGCATTCGGCTGCCGTTGCGCCCTTGGGAAGAAAGAAAAAAAATGTTCGGGGAGAGGAAGGGATCGTGGCTAGGCTCTCAATGACAAGCAAATGAACGTTCAGAGGATACACATCGCATCGGCCCTGCTGTGTCGGCCTGACCGGCGTCAATTCAACGTCATACATTGCTTTTGAACCCCTCCACCGGTCTTTTTTTGCTGCCTTAGAATTGACATATCGGCGCCGCGCGTGTCCGGTCCAAGGCCGCCTTGTGCCCGAAAAGCTCCCGAATGTTCGAGATTCTGACAAAGTTATCACACAAAGAGGAAAAACGAAAACTTTCCATGAGAGGGGCCGGAGGAGACAAGCCGTTGACTGTGGGAATCGAACCGCCTTCCCCCACAAGCAGCGCGTCACCACAGGAAACAAGAACGACACTCCTCCCCTGCCGTTTCAGGCTTGGGGCGGACGGCCTCTCTCTGAGAGAAACACGGCGTACCTGTATTTGATCATGGTAGGTCGCTCTAGGGAGAGCCCCCAGGCGATGACCCGCACGTCCTCCGGCAACCCCATGGGCCGGAGCATTTCCGGTCGGAACATGCCGCTGTTCCCGATCTCCGTCCACCTGCACGGGGAGGGGGGAGGAAAGGACAAAGACGGTGTGAGGTCGGCGGAGGAAGCTCGAGATTGGTAGGGCGGGCACCCCCCCTCGGTCCCCGGGAAAGGAAGAAGGAAAGACAGTGGCGGGAAGGAGACGGCGACCGACTCACTTTTTCAGGTCGGGGTGGTAGCCGAAGATCTCCATCGACGGCTCTGTGTATGGGTTGTAGGCGGGCTTGAACTTGAGGTCCGTGATCCCTGCGGGGAAGTTCCGGGGGAGGAGGGAAAAGGGCGGACGGTGTCAGACGATTTCGTCGTCGAACACGTCCCTCCGAGAGCCTCAATCATCCGAACGTCTCTCGTCCGAATGGACGCCTGTTCGTCCCAAAGG